TAATGAACCCAAACATCAAGATGTGGTGAAGTTACTTTTTCCCCCCTGCATATCCTTTCATGCTTTAGGTTAACCATGATCTCACATCAGGTTTGTTATTGCAATCTTAGACCAAAGGCAGTGCAGAAATGAATGGCTCGTTTGAGATGTGGTGTGATAGTTTAATTGGCTCAGGCTGAATTGTGTTAGCAGTCATGTAGACCAGAGTGTGGGTATATATATCCAGAGACAATAAATGCCCTTGTTAGGAGCCACCGACCACCCAGCGACCACAGACAGGATCCCTTCAGATATGTGGGCACATCTAATGTTGACATACTGTATTTAACACAGCTTTTGATGCATGAGATAATTCTAGAACTACACAGACACATTCACACTCAAAATGCACTAACCTTTGCTTCTCTGAAATATTCCCGCATAAATAAATACATATTTTATAAGAAACACAAAGTAAACACATATTTTAGAACTGTTACAGTAAATCAATTCTTCAGAATATCAGCAACACACTGTAAATGACTTACCTGCGTACGTGTTTCAGCTTTTGTGTATCAAAACTTCTCATTAAGCAACTGTATGTAAGTTTACCTTAAAATATCAGTTTCAAAATCATTTTGATGGCACACTGACTTCTAATATGGCGAATGGCTTGATTCTTTCCATAAGTTTGTTGAACAGGTAAAAAATTGCACGAAAAGGGCGAATTGCTTTACGGCAACAACGAACGCACCTGTACCGTAATTACGTCAGTGATATATTTGCGACGGTAAATTCCACTCATTTAACTGTAGGGGGCTCCAAAGTCGCAAAATTACACAAAAATACATATACCCGGCTGCATCCCAATGTTCATACTATCCTTCCTAAAAAATAAGTGTGTCCCAAAGCATAGTATGTTGAAAAGAGTATGCCAGAAGTTCCCAGATGGTCTACTATTTCAGGTAGATTTTTGAAGCGTGGATCCGTGCACACTCTGATGGCTAATACTACCCACAATCCATTGCGCTTTGACGAATTATTCGGTTCAGAACTACAAACGCGAATAAAAACCCGTTAAAAACTACAAACATGGAGATTGTGCGCGACTGATGGTTGAGTAGAGGTTTAGATAAAGGGGTTTGAGTTACTAATAATCAACATTTAACTTGTTAAAAATGTATATCATAGTTATCTGTGTTAGGGTATTTCATCTACAACAATAATGTGAACTTTTATAAACATCCGTTTGGCCATTAACTTTTAAATGCATCATTATCTCTGCAGTTCTCTGCATGAAGACCCACTGCTGGCAGATCAACGTGCTACTTCATTTCTCTCCAATACGGTAGGAAGTTAAATGAAATGAAATGTGGAGGATGTTAACTGTGACAAGATGATTGACAGGCCAGTTTACAGTGACAGGGTGCGTGTATCAATGCGGACAGATACACGCAGAGCGGACCGTTAAAGACACAATTGTATGAGGTAGTATGTTCCAAAGCTTGCCTACTCTTCTACTGCACACTCAAAAGTGTGTACTTTTTCTTCACCAAAAGAGTACATACTTTAAGGGCATAGTATAAGTAGGCACATTGGGATGCAGCAATAGTGTTACTTGCAGGGTTACTTGTCATTTCTTTGAAATTGTTTTTGAAATTTACTAGCTATTTCTGAGTGAAATTTGTTTCTATACATTTTTTCAGTGCAGTTCAAGCTCCATGTAAATCATTCACATTAAATCAACATAAATAGCATTCACTAATGAATCATACACATTAAGACCAGGGACATCTGTTAAGCAGTCCATCCAGGATTTTGTGATTGCAAGAATGAACACTAATCCATATGCTATTTGTGACAGCTTTCAATTTTCAGTCTTATTTCCATGCATGAAGCATGAACTTGAGGGATAAAGAAAGCAATATCAGCTGATCAATATCTATGAATCCCAGGCCAATCAAATCGATCAGCATGCTGTTAATGCTGAACTGATCTTCTGCTGTTCTGCAGTGAATTTCATTTGAAAGCCTACTCACTCTACAGCACACAAAATATGATGTTCAGTTATTGAGGAAAACCTTTCCACACAAATTAATTTCATGCAGCAAGACAAAAACATGTCCATACTCCATACAAACAAATAATATTGAACATAATTGAATTAAGTAAATGGCAATAAAATTATACTTAATGATAGTCTATAAAGGGGTAGACCCAAAAATGAAAATGTTGTCATCATTATCCATGCATATCTTTCTCCTGTGAAACAAAAAGGAAGATATTTTGAAGAATGTTGGTAACCAAACACTTTTAGGTCTCATTGACTTCCATTATATAAATATACATACAGTATTTCAGTTAAATACTAGATTGAAATGCCAAAAAACTAACTAACTAAAAAACTTAATTTGCTATGTAAAATTCAAGTAGTCGCACATAAACGCCCCCTCTTATAAATCTCCAACAGAAATGAACATTAAACACTAATGAGTCTTTATAATTACGTACTCAAAAACACGTCAAATAATACTTATTTTCAACATTTACTCTCCCAGTCCAGTCCAGTGCAAAGCATGCTGGGAGCTTGAAATCCATGGCTCAGTTTCAGTGGTCAACACACATTAGTTTAGTCTGAACACAAAACTATTAAGTAAACTTGTAAAGTAAATTGGGTTTCTTTAGCTGATTTTAAAACGTAAACTGAACAAGCAGCAAAAAATTTCGCCCTTGATTTTCATGTAAAGATCACATGAAAATGCTCAGTATTGCAATCATTCTCATTTAAACTCTACATATTGTTATCCACTCTCTCCTAATGATAAATGGCAAGTCTCACTGCAGAACACCATAAAAATGCATGAAAATGGCGCTGAATATGCAGCCATCTTGGCCCACAATATTCTACTTCCACAAGCTCCTGGTGTAAGCAAATAGGGTTAATTTTGACTTTTATAGCAGCCAATTTTATTTTTTTCCAGAAACCAAACTGAAATGCTTCCGTCATTTTTCAGATTCACCGATTGAGGAAATGTACTTCTTCTGAAAATACATTTTTCAAGCTCTAATTTTGCCCATTAATAATTAACCGCCTCTTAGCGTATGTGTGTGTGTTTGAAGTATACGGTGACACTGCCTGTCAAAGAGCAGAGGGTTCTGGCCCATTTTAAGATCCGAGGTGCGGTTGAACCACACGTCGTTTCGTAGTCATTTTATCCCGGCCACCTGTAGCCCAGCGAGGGGAGCAACAGTAAATCATGTGACCGCTTCCCCGAGACGAAACCCTAATCCCGAGCCTGATCGGGCCGGTCCAGGGATGGAGGGCATGGTGAAACTCGAGGCGACAGCTTCACCAATGAAGAGGCGGAAAAGTGGTCCCTGCGCTCGCCTTGTTGTGTCAGCACGGCCCCATTAATGTCACTTTAGTGCCAGCGGCCCCTCCCGCCGCACGTGCTGTAAGTGTGCGTGAGCGAGAGGACAGGAGCGGGAATGAGAGGGGTGTGTTCCGGCCCCTGTGGATACTCTACACCCTCTTCACGCCTGACGGGCTGTCAGAGGTTATTAGCGTGACCCGGTGGCCATCCTTGGGGAGAATATGAGATCTCGCTGATGCCTTCGGAACTGATCTGCGCTGGAGGAAGCAGGTGAATAACATGGCATTGAAAACATGATTCACCTGCTTATTTACACAACTATATTTATATTTCATTAGCTCTGTAACCAAAAACTATGAAAAGCATGCATGTATTTTAATGCACCACATGTCCCAAAGCTAAGGCTGTGGAGTCTAATCCCAGAATGCTTTGCAACACGCTCCCAGAAAGCATTGCGAGTGAACAAGAGATGTATATACACTACTGGTCAAAAGTTTTTAAATAAATTAATACTTTTATCCGGCATGGATGCGTTATATTGATCAAAAGTGACGGTAAAGACATTTATAATGTTACAAAAGATTTCTATTCCAAATAAATGCTGTTTTTGTTAACATTCTATTTATAATTACATTATTTAATTACAAAAAAAAGGAAAACAAATGAAAAAAATAAAAATCCACAAAAATATGAAGCAGCACAACTGTTTTTAACATTGATAATAATTATAAATGCTTCTTGAGCAGCAAATCAGCATATTAGAATGATTTCTGAAGGATCATGTGACACTGAAGACTGGAGTAATTATGTATGAAATTCAGCTTTGCATCACAGGAATAAATTACATTAAATATATTTATTTATTATAAATATATTTATTAAAATATTTTGCAATAGAAAACACTTGTTTTAAATTTTAAAAATATTTCATAATATTACTGTTTTTACTGTTTTGTTGTTGTTGTTGTTTTTAATTTAAAAAATGCAGCCTTGGTGAGCATAAGACACTGCTTTTTAAAAACATTAAAAAAATCATGATAATTCCAAATTATTTTTTACATTTGATTCAAAAAAGTGAATCAAATTATAAACTGTATATAATTTATATTTTATATTTTGCAAGTAATAATCAAATACAAACTTCTTTTTTTAATAAGGACACTTTTATATGATAAACTACTGTGTTCAATCATAACTAATCTGTCTAATCTGGTTCTTGAAGCGAAACCATTTGAGAACAACGGTATAACAAAAAAAGCATGAATTTCAGATGTGATTTTTATGTGGTTTTGAGTCTCTCAATATGTTCCCAATGTGATGAAGTCCCAGATGTGCACATTTCAAGCCGCAAAACCATTTTCACAAAAACACATGAATTTAACATGCTCCCACATGTGCACATATATGACTAACATGTGTTCACGTGTAAAATTCATGTGCATTTTCCATAAGGGTCTACCACACAAAATATACATAAACAGCAAGACTGACAGTAATTCTCTCTTTCGCTGTGTGAGTTAGGCTGGCAGGCCTGTGTGTTGTTGATGTGTGGCCTGGTCAGATGGTCTACCAAGTGCCCACATTTGCCACAGATCTATACCCTCTGTCCCAGTGCAGAATCACCCCTCACCAGCTGATCTCTGACGCTAACCACCAGTTAAACCCGACTCATCTCATTACTGGGCCAGAATCGCTGGGGTATTTGGGATCTGGTGAATTACAGTTCTCACAAGCCATTCTGCTCTCTAACCTCTAACCCTTAATATTAAACTTCAGTCTGTCCCGCTTACAGATTACATTCAGACAACAGATGTTTAAATAGCATCTCTGATTTCATTTCAGCAGCAAAAATTGCACTAATTGGTAAGATTGATTAGTTTCTGTGCATATTTTCAAAGGATCTTTTCAATTAATAGATTCAAAGCTCAGATTCAATTATTCATTTGCATAATGACTAAAACAGAGTTATAAAAGTTTCAGCCTAGCATTTTTACATTAAAAATGTTTTAACAAAAAAAAAAAAAAAAAAGGGGTCGGTAAGATTGTAATGTTTTTAAAAGTTTTTTATTCTCACCAAGGCTGCATTTATTTGGTCAAAAATACAGTAAAAACAGCAATTTTGTGAAATAATATTACAATTTTAAGTAACTTATTTAAAATAAATATCTGTTAAATAACTCAATAACTAAATAACTATTTTTATATATTTTAAAATGTTATTTTAATATATGTTTTAAAAATGTAATTTTGTCCTGTGATGGCAAAGCTGAATTTTCTCCAGTCTTCAGTGTCACATGATACTTTAGAAATCATTCTAATATCCTGATTTTCTGTTCATAACAATACTGAAAAGA